TCTAATACTTTTGAGGGAGGTTTTAGTTTCTTGTATAACATTCTTCATCCCTAACTTTCTGTTTGATTCTTTTTCATGGTGTCTATTTCTTCTTTCTAATTGTGAAAGGACTTCCTCATCTCCCACAGCTCGTTGTCTCTCTTCTCTTGCATCTCGTTTAGTTTTGTCACTACAAATATTCTGAATTGCTTATCCGACATTTCCGTGACTTTCATTGTGCTGTCTGTGGGTGATGCAGAATTAATGTTTTCCCTTTGGGCAGAGACATTATGGTGGTTGCTCATGTTTCTTGTGCCTCTGTGATTGTTACTCGTCATCTGGTGATCTATATGTTCCTTCCTAAATTATTCAAGATTTCTCTGAGTCTTCAGCGGTGTGCAGGAGTAGTTAATTGGTGGTCTCTCTTCTGCTCTGCCTCCCTGTTGCTCACCAGCACCCTGCCTTATTGTCACTAGTCCTGGGTGACCAAAGTCCTCCCTGTTTTTAAAAAACATTAGCTCCTGAAACTGACTTGCTGAGCTTCAGCACAGGAGCAAAGACAGGATCGTGAAGCACACAATGTGCCTCCTGTCTGCCAAAACACCAGAGTCTTTAGAGTTCAAAGGCGAGTGGGGGAAGGGATGAGCCTGAGTCCTGGCCCTTATGCCCTGCCGCCACAGGTAGACTGTCATCTAGCAAGGCCCTTTGCTTGAACTGGTATCTGGATGGGGCCTAGCTCACTGATTTTCAATCTTGTTTTTTTAAAAAAATTTTCATCATTATTATTATTTATACATTCAATTGCTATACATAATTTAAATTGTAAAGAGATTTTACCTAACATGATATATCCCACACACCAGGTGAGTTGAGAATACTATACACAACATCAACAGGAAACAAACCATATCTGTCCCACAAATGTCTTACTTCTCCATTTTTTCCCAAATTTCCCTTCCTGAACTCTTCCTCTCTCTCACACTCCTTCTACTTTGTTCCCAGTGTCCATAACAATTTTCAATGCTTTTATGTCCTCCAGTCTTTCAGTCTCTACCATGGCGTAGACAGTTGATATATGTTAATTGGAGACATACAATGTGCATGATTCATAGCATGATTTGCTTCACTCAGCAGTAAATCTCCCATGTTCATCCACTTTCCATCAAATGCCAGTGTCTTGTGGTTTTGTATTGCTGAATAGTATTCCATGGAGTATATGTGCCACAGTTTTACAGTACAGTCATCTGATTATGGACATTTGGGTAGGTTTCATGACTTAGCTATCGTCAATAATTCTGCAATAAATAGAATTGTGGAAGCACTTTTCCAATTGAGCATTCTCCTGTCCTTTGTGTAGATACCCAGGAGTGGAACTGCTGGATCACATGGTAGTTCTATTTGAAGGACTTGGAGGCACTTTGATATTTTTCTCCACAGTGACTGACTAATTTATATTTACACCAACAATGTAGGAGAGTTCCCCTTTTACCACATCTCCTCTAGCACTTAACCATTTTTTAAAATTTTTAGATTTTTTTCTTAATTTTTAATTAATTAATTTGTGTTCATTCACTGAGCATCATCATAGCATACACAATGTGATTTCCCATCTAGAACATACTGCATAGTGGCTTAATTATACATGTGATCATCAATAATTTTCCATTTCTAGTTTCATATATATATATATATATATATATATTTACTCCTATTTCTCACCCTCTGCCATTTCCCACCCTCCTCCCACACTATCTTAGGGA